TTTGAGGGTACTTTTGATCTTGGAGAATAGTTTGGGGGACATATGTGATATTTACGCATACGACAATACTGGTATGCTTTACAGACAACCTTACCCTATAATGTTCCGCCACGTCACCCATCTTCCTCCTCCTTCAACCTAAACTTTATCATCACATCACCACCAAACTTTACTTTGCTCACTCTCCCTCCTCACTTTCTCTCTCCAGAACTCTCTAGGTTTTCATTACCTCTCTCTCACTCAATTTGAAAGTTGAAGTGAGTTGGCTCAGCTTTCATCATGGGATCAATCGCCGATCCCGGCGAGTTGACTCAGCCGAGCTTCGACGAGTTCCAGAGACAAACCTCTCTCATGACCAGCTGTACTCTTCTCTGGAAGGAACTCTCCGACCACTTCACTTCTCTAGAACAAGACCTCCAGAAGAAGTTCAAAGCCGTCAAAGCCAAGCTTGAAACCCTAGACACTGAAACCAAACACTCCCTCCTAGTCCTTGAGAATCGCGAGACCACCATCAACAATTCCATCGAAATCGCCCTCGGAAAAGTCAAAGGAAACAAAGAAATCGCCATCAATTCGCAGAACGACACCGTTCCGGAACCGAGGTTGACGATTCCGATGGCTTGCTAATGAAATTGAAGTCGTTCTGTGTGAAAATGGATTCTCTAGGGTTTTGGAAATTTGTGGTTGTTCGGAAGAAGGAATTGGATATAATGAGAACGAAATGCCTGTGGCGCTTGGGGATTGTGTGGATCCGGCGAGGTTTGTGTTGGAGGCTATCTCGGAGGTGTTTCCGGTGGATAAGAGGGAGGTGAAGATCAAGAGAGTGAATGATTTGGGGTGGGCTTGTGTGTTGTTGTTGGAGTCGTTGATTCCGGTGATGGTGGATCCGATACTGGGGAGTGAGAGGATGTTGGTGACGCCGAGCGTGAAGGAAAGGGCTAAGGAGATTGCTGAGACATGGAAGAAGAGCTTGGAGGAAATGGGAGGATTGAGAATGTGAAGACGCCGGATGTTCATACGTTTCTGCAACACTTGGTCACCTTTGGGATTGTTAAGAAAGAGGATGTGGAGTTGTACAGGAAGCTTGTTGTTGGATCAGCTTGGAGGAAACAAATGCCCAAGCTTGCGGTTTCTCTGGGTTTGGGTGATAAAATGCCTGGTATGTTTCCATTTTTGTTGATTTGTTTTTTGCTTGATAAAGGTTTTGTTGTTAGTAGCTTGTATTTGGAACATCATAGAAGACTAGAAAAAGAACACTGATGATATGATACATTTAAGGATGTGGATTTGCATACGCCATGCAACACATGATTGAGAACTATTTTCCAAGTTTAATAGAAGGGGATTGTAGGAAAACCACCACTGCCAAAGGTTTGAGGACTATTAAATTGATTGGGATTGCATCTCGATGAGAACATTGGTTAATTAATGTTAACAAGGTAGATTCAGATTCTTTAGTTTAATTAGACACACATATTTTGATTGCCTTTTTGTTCTATGAACGAAAGGTTTTAATGCTTAAATGGAAAAATAAACTAGATGACCGATTATTCTGTAATGAATTTTACTATGGAGTAATGCATATGGCCATTCAATGAGCTTGCTTATTTAATTGATGGCTCAATGTGGAGAGTTTTGTAGAATCTATGGAGTTAATTATAATTTTGTTTTTGTGGGAACTTGTATCAAGAGGGTTTACAAGGTTGTCTCTTCTTCTTGATATGTTGAGGCTATGCATAAGGATGTCCGACCTTTTCTTGTCCATATATTTTTGGGCTCGGTTCATACTTTGCTTGGCTTGGAGACTTGACTATTTAAAACAGAAATGCATATCATTGTTCACCTGATTATCGAACCGTATTGTTACAATGTTATGCTTAACCAGCTAGCGTGCATGGGTTCGTGCGTGAATATTTATTCTAGTTTGAATTGTTGGTGTTTTGTACCTAACTATTCATTTCCTTTTTATTGTTCATACAAACAATTAAACAACCAAAACTTGAAGGCATTTAGTACTTTATTCTCGTACGTGAGAAAATCATTGTATATGATGGTGCAATATATTTTTGTCATTATATTTGGTCTTTATCAGTACAAATATTCACTTTACCACTTACTCTTGGGACAATTCAAGTGCTCCTCCATAATATACTCCTCTGGGGCCGAGTATATTATGGAGGAGCACTTGAATTGTCCCAAGAGTAAGTGGTAAAGTGAATATTTGTACTGATAAAGACCAAATATAATGACAAAAATATATTGCACCATCATATACAATGATTTTCTCAACGTACGAGAATAAAGTACTAAATGCCTTCAAGTTTTGGTTGTTTAATTGTTTGTATGAACAATAAAAAAGGAAATGAATAGTTAGGTACAAAACACCAACAATTCAAACTAGAATAAATATTCACGCACGAACCCATGCACGCTAGCTGGTTAAGCATAACATTGTAACAATACGGTTCGATAATCAGGTGAACAATGATATGCATTTCTGTTTTAAATAGTCAAGTCTCCAAGCCAAGCAAAGTATGAACCGAGCCCAAAAATATATGGACAAGAAAAGGTCGGACATCCTTATGCATAGCCTCAACATATCAAGAAGAAGAGACAACCTTGTAAACCCTCTTGATACAAGTTCCCACAAAAAACAAAATTATAATTAACTCCATAGATTCTACAAAACTCTCCACATTGAGCCATCAATTAAATAAGCAAGCTCATTGAATGGCCATATGCATTACTCCATAGTAAAATTCATTACAGAATAATCGGTCATCTAGTTTATTTTTCCATTTAAGCATTAAAACCTTTCGTTCATAGAACAAAAAGGCAATCAAAATATGTGTGTCTAATTAAACTAAAGAATCTGAATCTACCTGTTAACATTAATTAACCCAATGTTCTCATCGAGATGCAATCCCAATCAATTTAATAGTCCTCAAACCTTTGGCAGTGGTGGTTTCCTACAATCCCCTTCTATTAAACTTGGAAAAATAGTTCTCAAATCATGTGTTGCATGGCGTATGCAAATCCACATCCTTAAATGTATCATATCATCAGTGTTCTTTTTCTAGTCTTCTATGATGTTCCAAATACAAGCTACTAACAACAAAACCTTTATCAAGCAAAAAACAAATCAACAAAAATGGAAACATACCAGGCATTTTATCACCCAAACCCAGAGAAACCGCAAGCTTGGGCATTTGTTTCCTCCAAGCTGATCCAACAACAAGCTTCCTGTACAACTCCACATCCTCTTTCTTAACAATCCCAAAGGTGACCAAGTGTTGCAGAAACGTATGAACATCCGGCGTCTTCACATTCTCAATCCCTCCCATTTCCTCCAAGCTCTTCTTCCATGTCTCAGCAATCTCCTTAGCCCTTCCTTCACGCTCGGCGTCACCAACATCCTCTCACTCCCCAGTATCGGATCCACCATCACCGGAATCAACGACTCCAACAACAACACACAAGCCCACCCCAAATCATTCACTCTCTTGATCTTCACCTCCCTCTTATCCACCGGAAACACCTCCGAGATAGCCTCCAACACAAACCTCGCCGGATCCACACAATCCCCAAGCGCCACAGGCATTTTCGTTCTCATTATATCCAATTCCTTCTTCCGAACAACCACAAATTTCCAAAACCCTAGAGAATCCATTTTCACACAGAACGACTTCAATTTCATTAGCAAGCCATCGGAATCGTCAACCTCGGGTTCCGGAACGGTGTCGTTCTGCGAATTGATGGCGATTTCTTTGTTTCCTTTGACTTTCCGAGGGCGATTTCGATGGAATTGTTGATGGTGGTCTCGCGATTCTCAAGGACTAGGAGGGAGTGTTTGGTTTCAGTGTCTAGGGTTCAAGCTTGGCTTTGACGGCTTTGAACTTCTTCTGGAGGTCTTGTTCTAGAGAAGTGAAGTGGTCGGAGAGTTCCTTCCAGAGAAGAGTACAGCTGGTCATGAGAGAGGTTTGTCTCTGGAACTCGTCGAAGCTCGGCTGAGTCAACTCGCCGGGATCGGCGATTGATCCCATGATGAAAGCTGAGCCAACTCACTTCAACTTTCAAATTGAGTGAGAGAGAGGTAATGAAAACCTAGAGAGTTCTGGAGAGAGAAAGTGAGGAGGGAGAGTGAGCAAAGTAAAGTTTGGTGGTGATGTGATGATAAAGTTTAGGTTGAAGGAGGAGGAAGATGGGTGACGTGGCGGAACATTATAGGGTAAGGTTGTCTGTAAAGCATACCAGTATTGTCGTATGCGTAAATATCACATATGTCCCCCAAACTATTCTCCAAGATCAAAAAGTACCCTCAAATTTTATTTG